GGCGCGAGTGCAACTCGCGCCATATTCTTTGTCCTATGACACGGTAACGGAGAAGTTAAAGCTCCGTGGCTAAATTTAAACGCAGCCGCCAGGGCTGAGTGTAAGAGCCGAGGCTGAGCAGGAGCAGTCGCAGCCGCCGCCAGAAACCAGAGCACGTGCTTCGACCGAGTGACGCGACGCTACGCGACTTGCCTGCCTGCCCAACATCCTCCTCCTCGTCCTTTCCTTTTTCATCTTTTTCCTTTCTCCCCTTTGCTCGCTTCCACCCTTCGAGCATGTCGCAGCTTTTTCCTATCTCCTACGATTCCTAATCGCTTCGTCCGACCGCGCGACGTTCAACGAACAGGAAGTTCGATTAGCTGGCACCGATTTCGAGCACCGATTCATAGTTTGCCGAAAGAAGTTGGGTTTGTCCGTTGTTGGCTGCTTTCCAACCAGACTTTCGGACATCGATGATCGAGCAAAGTACAGGATCGAGCACGAAATATCGTAGCGTTAGTCCGCGAGCTCGCGATCACCGAGAACGACGCGAGGCGGTGGGAAAGAAACGATATCGCTCGTGAAGTTACCAATGACGCAAGTAACTCACTGATCGATCAACCGTATAGCGTACGCGCATAACTCGTTGCTTTATAGATAATACGTAAAACGCGATGTTGCACGAATTAAGGGACTTTTCCCTTTACGCGATAAACTGGCTAGCTCCGTCTCCCGGGTCATCCTCTCGTTTACTTGGTTTACTTCGTTTACTTGGTTCGCGGCAAAATCGGATTCCAGCAGATTTCTCGTCGACTCGCGAAGCGTTTGCAGGCTTACGAACAAAAATTCACGCAAATTCTGGATGAATCGAACGATTCGTTGATGAGATCACGCGTCTAAAACGACTACACCACCTGGACCAAGTTACTCGGAAATTTCCTCTTGCCTTTTTGCGAAAATTCGCGTTAAAGATCACAAACTCCTATTCGTTCACCTATTCGATGATTGTTTGCGGGAAAAAGGATGTCGAAGAAATCGAATTAGTTATTGCGGGGCAGGAGGAAGGCGTCGCGTCGAAGAGCTTTCGAAGAGGTTTCGAAGAGGTTTCGAAGAGGGTTTCCAGGAGAAACAACCGCGACAATAATTTGTGCGTTGCTCGAAGGAGGCGAGTTGGAAAAGAGGAAGGCATAAAACGACGTTGCTCTCCGGATCGGCACGTGCCACTCGATAAATCTGTCGGCAGCTGACGGTACAGCCGGCTGCTGTAGCGAGTTCAGCCTCCCGCTTGCACTTGCCTTCTTCTTTCTTCCTTGTTCGCTCCTCGGTATAGCCAGTCTCTCTTGTTGTCGTCTCGCTCGCTCGTCTCGCAGGAAACCGACGACCCTCCTTGAAGAGAGCAGTCTCCCTCTTCGAGAAGCGCGTTTGCTCCGACAAATGCCGAATGTTGGCTCGACTTGGACGCGAGGTATAAACCCCGTTCGATTATTTTCTTCTTATAAAAATTCCCTTAAATTCGTGTACCGCGGACCAGCGACGAACAGCAACGAAATCTCGTTAGCGGACCGCAGTTGCCCGTCGATCGATTTTTCCTCCTGCGAATTTCCAAACCGCTTTCTGCGACCAAACCGCTATTATAAAACTCGAAACTATAGCTCTCTTGAGACTTACGATGATGAAATCGATACGATACCGATCGGTCGAAAATGAAAGTAGGAGGTAAAATTGATGGAAAGAAGAGAGAAGGGAAAACGTGGCGGGAGGGCCAGAGCGAAGCTCGAACAGTATGTTCGGTTAGGGTTAGAAGACCCCACGTCACGCCACCGTTGGATATGACCAACGCGATGCGACCACATCGAACGCGTTAAATGTTCTGTTGCTTGAACGATGTTGCGGGTCGAAAAACGGTAAACGTTCCACGATGACATTTATCGATTTCGCTCCACCGAAGGAAACATTGTCAGAGACGACGAATCGTGTGAAAAAAAAGTCCGGTTTCCTCGAATTTATCCTTTTTCGACGCGCTCTCAAACACGCTACAACGCTTCGTACTCGTATCGCGCAACGATTACGATATCTGATTATCAAAAGGTCTCTCAATCGAATAATTTCTTCCCAGGCATTTTACGTCCGGCTGAAAAATCAGCGGAGAAAAACGAGCGATCTTCCTCCGTCTGTGCCTCGAGCTAGCTGGAAGCTCGAAGCTTGAAACACGATACGCGGAGCTGATGAATACTCGAAACGAAGCAGAATGGAAGCGAACTGGCGAAAAAGAAGGAAAAACGAAACGGTGACGAAGAAGAAGAAGAAGAAGGGAGATTCGCGAGTCGAACGAACGCTCGAGCAACATACTGAAGAGTGAGCATCGAGTAAGAGCAAAATGAAGAATCAATGAAGAGAAAGAGGAAGGTGACTCTCGCGAAACTACGTTTAAGAACGTAGCTTTTACTCGAAAAAAAAAAAAGATCCCACCTTCTCCTTATGTCAATTCTTTCGAACTCGATTATTCTGCCATGTACAGTCTATCTTATATAACTATTTATATAAGATAAAATATTTTGGCCGTTCTAAAGGGCGCGCCCTTGCCTGCTTTTGATGGAAAGGATAACGAGTTATTTCGTGAACAGACTTGAACGGACCAAAGGGAAATTGTAAAATACAATGCCTTTCAAATCTATTTAGTTGACCTACGAACTTTTCGCTTAGGTGCGTACAACGTAAGGTAAGTAGTGTCTATGTAGAACAGCAACACGGTATAGCTAGAGTATACCAGCAGAAATGTTGAAAAACCTCGATAGGAAAATCTATTTAGAAAAAGAAAAAACGTTACGGTTCCATCCGAAGATAATTAAAGAGCCCATGGGGTTAAGCCACCGCATCTCTCGTTCGCCTCTCTCTTCCTCTCCCTTTCTCTCTATTTCGCGCACGCACACTTTCATTAAACAGAAAGAAGAAAGAAAAAAATAATAAAAGGATGTGAAGAAGATGAAGAAGAAGGAGAAGAAGAAGAAGATGAAGGCGGAGAAGAAAAGGAGGAGGCGGAAGAAAGAGAGAAGCAAGAGCAGGAAAGCGCGTTACGCGTTACAGAGGAAGAGAAGAGAGGAGAAACGGAGCTGGCAGATGTTGGGCGCGTGCGGCGTCGAACCATTTAAGGCGCGATCACTGGACGCTCGGCGTCGCAACGGCCCTCTCCGCGTCGTTCTTGCCCCGACCAACTCTCTTCTCCTCCCTCTCTCTCCCTCTTCTACCTCCACCTTCCACCTTGAGAAGTCGAACCGCGCGCCACAGCCTCCAACTCTACCTCTTCTACTTGCTCTCTCCTTATCTCCCTATCTCCCTATCTCCCTATCTCCCTATCTTCCCTTATTCCTCGCCGCTTAAAGCCGTTCTTCTCGTATTTACTCGAGCAGAGTAAAGGATTCTGGAAATTTTGTACGCGTTCAACGGGACCGTTAGTTCTATAATACTATAATAAGCTATAAATACGAATTAGACAATGTCCGTTCGAAAGATAGATTGCCTTCGGAGAGGGAGAAATTGTCGACTATCGTAGCACGATCCTGAGAAGAAGGGTAACGTTTTTATTCGAGCGTTACGATATGCCGACGAAGAGAGAGGAGAGATTCGGAGGAAGATGAATATGATAGAGAATCGAAAGGCGAATCGAAAGGGAAAGTAAGAGAGCAGCGGGGCTTTGGAAGGGAGTAAATGAAAAGAGAAAGAAGAAAGCAAGGAAGGTGTCGCACGTGGCCGGATAGGACCACGTGGTCCTTTTGCCTACGTCACCGGCCGAACTCGACATCCCATCGCGTATTGATTGAGAGTGGCCATGGTCGTTTCCATGACGACGTTTCTTTTACCTGTACACCACGGGCGTACACAGGGTACACCTTTCACGAGTGCACACAACGAGCCACCTACCTATCCTATCTACTACGTAGGTAGCAACCTTAGGGGAACGTAGGTGTACGTACAGTGAGTCGCACAAGTATTGGCATTCGCGCAATTAGGATTGTCTGTGTGCGCATCGGTACAACTATCCAGCTCGTGCTTCTTCTTTATATCGTAATTAAGATATTATATCGTATTAACATTAAATATGTTACCAACGATCGATAGTCGGTTGGTTTTCGAAATAAACGCGTTCGGTTTACGTGTTATCGAGGTAGACACTAGTTCGCGTCGAATCGATTCGTTGGAATAATCTTGAAACGATTCCGGACCAACACGGTTAATCGGCGACTTACTTTTGCCAGTCACTGTAAGCGCGCGTCCTACCTGTGCGACGAGCTTATCCCACCGTCTCTCTCCTCGTGCTTTCACCCTCTCGCCACACTTGGTTTATCCTTCTTTTCGAACCCTATCAAGCTGTCCTATCTGCACGGTGTATCGAGTGAATCGGATCGGATCCTCGATAGAAATCTCTCGAGCGTACACACGTTGCCGTACCACGCGTGCAAAATTTATAATCGACCCCTCGATACCGCACCCTTCTACCTCTCTCTCGTTCTCTTTCCCTCGACCCACTGCCACCATAGATTCGATCCATTACCGCACACGGTTACCATAGACATCCTAGATATCATAGATCCACGGTTAAATTGCGACGAGAAAATTTCAAACGGATCAATTTTACTCCTCACGTTGCTATTCAACGTTCCGGGATATCCTGAAAGTTTAGGGAGGCTGGAGAAATTTCATTCGGCGGTACTCGACAATGTTTCGTTAACGAATCGATCGTTTCGCCGATATTCATTCGATAGCGAACGAAGAACGATTAGGACCGGTGATGCCACTGGCAACGAGAGCACGTGCTACCAACACGTGGTGATGGTTAGTAGAGAGGGAACGGACTCGGCGTCCCCGAAAGAATAAACAGGGAAAAGGGATATGACATCGCCTTCGCAATTTCTCTCGGTTTTTTCAGTAGTTCGTTACTACATACATATAGTAGTAGCATACATATATGTAGTAATGCTCGATGCGGTAAGAAAATAATATCGTTAGAAAGATCTATAATGTTTCCCCTAAGCTGGAACCGTGCGTTCCAGGATCTCCGGGACTTTCCAGGACTTTTGACCAATAACGGCACGTGTACGTCGCACGTGAGAAGTAGGCGGAAGGAATGATCGGAGTTGTCGCGTTCGGATTTACGTCAATCGTGACCCAACGCGACGCGCAAGCTTCAAAGACATCCCTCTGTCTAACAAAAAGGGGGAGAGAGAAAAAAAGCTTAAGCCGGTTAAAAGGAAAACTGTAGCAGCCTTTTCCGATACGCGAGAACTTTCCAACGAGTCCGACATCCGGTTCTTCTTAGGTTCTTCTTAGGTTCTTCTTAGGTTCTTCTTAGGTTCTTCTTACGACGATAACTGCCGGTTGCACCACCTCCGATCAAAATGTCTCTTCCTTATCTTCCCCGTACTCGCCAGACTCTGACAACGTCTGAACCGTAAAGAGATAGGAATCAAGAAGAAAAGAGAATTTCGATAGGTATTTCGCGAATATATTTTCTCATGGGACATCCATTCCCAGTTTCCAAGAATAACACGTACGGACGATGAATTATTGAGACGAGCGTCAGAATTGTTAAGCGGTTAAATCAAATTAGTCGACACCTGGCCCCGTTACAAAGACCCGAGGAAATTCGTTTTAAACGTTATTTTCAAATTCTGCATCGAACGTTTCCTTGCCGAATCGAGTCTCCGAAATATCCTTTTAATTCGATCATATTCTTTCGCGTTCTATCCACTCGACAGAACTCTCACGCTTGCCAAACGATTATTCTTTTTATTCGGCAACTGAATTTATACTAAACCGATTGATATTTCGATCGATGTCACGAGTATCCCGATGTCGCGAAATGTCAAATTCGTTCGTAACACCGATCGACCTAAATCTCTCGGTTCTCTCCATAAATAGACAAACGCGTTTCCTTCTCGAAATATCAAAATCCTATTCAAATTTCATCCACGACTCTAATCGACTCTGATCGACTCTAATCGACCTACCGTAATACCTGATTCGCCAACGACTAGACCCCTCGAAACGATATAACGCGCGCTATCCCAAACGATTCGCCTAGCCTCTGAGAAATGAACGACCATGTCGTCGTCGTCGGTCCTCGAGAAACTTATCGATGAAACTGTTCTTTCTGCACCGGCTAGGTGGGTAGGATCGTTCTCGAGGGCACGACATGCACGATTTCAACTACCTCTTTTCGGCAACCGAGTTCTTCGAGTTTCGGCTACGACAACTTTACATACATTTTCTCCGAGTTAAACTTGAACGATCTAACTGTTAAACGAGTCGACCGAAACCGGTATAGTGAATTTTTATTCAAGGATAAGAAACTGCTTAGCGATATATCGAAAAAAGTCGAAAAAAAGGAGGAAAAAAGGAAAATAAAAGTTGAAAGAAAAAGCGGAAGAAGAATAAAAGGCGCGAGTAAAGCGTGTAATCGATATTTTAGTGGAATTTCGCGAGGAGAAAATTGTCGAAATTCCCTGACTCGTCGCGGGAAAACGTAGCGCGGTTTCGTTCGACGGTTTTTACCTCTCTCTCTCTCTCTCTCTAGCTAGTCGAGCATCTCGAAATAATGGAAAAAGTCAACATAGGTTCAGGTCATACGCGCTTTATCCAGCCATTTGCATAGGCTCGAGGAGTCGCATTGTATCGCGCTTTGTACCGCGAGGTCGTGCAATTCTTTGAAACGAACCAGCCACGCATTATTACGTAGGTTCAAGTTCCGTGAGATCTCGCGATAAGTCTACATCTGATACGAACACCTAAACGCATTGATTCCCCTGTTACTTCCGTTCTCCGAGCGAAACATCGCATTCTTACTTCGTACTTTTCACATGCCTCCTTCCCCCTTCCTACCATTTCTTCGCTCTTTACGCGGATTTTTCAACGTTTTTAACTTTTTTTTAATAGATCCATTATTATATTAATTATTAACTGTCTATGCCTTCCGATTCAAATTTCACCGAAAATAATTAATACCGATATTAATTACCTACGGATTTTTTCTAGAGTATCGTGCCACGATCACGAATCGAAAATATCAAAAAACCGACCATTCGTCGCGTTAATTTTAAATCATATTAATTATTCGAAAACTTATCGTTTTCTACTTTACCGATCGAGTTCGGTGCGATTGATAATTGTATTCGCAGATGGCAGCATCTCACGGTATTTAGAAGAATTTTCAAAAAAAAAAAAATAAAAAACAAACAAATAACTTTTCAAATATTCGATTCCTACTTAAACGTTACTTTATCTTTCCAAGTACGAAATTAAATTCATCCCTTCTTCCGTACGACTGTCCGTTTAAACCGATATTAGCCCTTTACCATCGAATGCCTACTAATATAGCCACCTGAATCCTTCCAGAGGACAGACTACAGATTATTAATTGCTTTACGTTGTATAAGGATGAGAAATTATAATCCAAGAACGACAATGTTCTGTAACTTAGGTGAAATGGATTACACGGATAATAGATTTAAAATGCTTATGTTTGGACGGTGCAATGTGTAAACAATGTACCTGAATTACTTGCTCTATTGGTAGTGCTCCTCTTTGTATCGATACAGAATCGTGCTTGGATAAAGAACGTTCGACCGGTGAAATGATTCTGTACCCACGTAAAGGAATAAACGTTAAGATTTAATATGTCGAATGACACCATTCTCCCTTTAAACGTACCATAGCTATCCTATAAACTTGTAAACGATTCCATTTGGTTCTGACATTGTGCGTTAACGAGCTATTAAAGTTTCGTATAGCGCTGGTATTACATATATTCTGACAAAAATCTTCCACTCCTATTAGGGTACTACATGTATGTATCGTTAACTATTCGACGTGTGGTTAAAAAGCAGTGATCTTTGCAGAATCTTGGCTCGTATCGAATGCTCTTCTTATTAAATTGTTCCTCGTTTTCCGGCAAACGAAAAATAATATTTTCTTTTAACTGTTACTGTTTCGAGCGACGAATGTGAGATATCTGTTGGAAATCGATATTGTAATGATTAAAATAAAATAAAGAGCGTTAGTTCAAGGATTATACGACGATCAACTAAGAATAATAATACGAAAAAGAAAAGAAAAAAGAAAAAGAAAAAAACCTGACAGAGGTTTGCATCCGAATGAACTCGGAACCTGTCATTTTCAATCGTTTCTTTGCGAAAAAGATCAATATATCTCGCAACGAGAACATCTCTTCATTGACAAAAAAATGTATGATTTTAAAAGAAAAGTTGTACTCTTTTTCAAAAACGCTACGATACATTCGATACTGAAATATCCTTAGGAACGAGCTTTTTTTCTTTTTTCTTAAAAATCATGAACGCTTCGTTTGCATGTGTGCCCCGTGTATATGCATATATATATACATATATATAAATATATATACGCCTATGTGTACATGTGTTGAAGGCCATGTTAACAGACTGTAAGTCAACGAATCGCTTCTGAAACGGTAAAAGGGAAAAATGAAATTTACTTACGATTTTCACCGGCTTCTCCGCGGTTCCTACAGAGCTTTTCCAAATAGTTATTTCACTTTCCACATTATTACGTCCACGGTAAAAAAAAAAACAGCGAGAGAGCGAGTTTGATCAAAAGCACAATTTTCGTGACGTCATCGGTAGTCAGGCATGCGCAGACTGATTTCGGTGTTTTTCCATTTACCGCGGAAACACGTGTGCGATCTTACTTATTTGCTTCTTTTTTTTTCCTTTTAAGCGAAAGAATTACATCGCTAAGAAACACGCGACATTATCGCGACGACGCGGTATCGTCCGTTGCGAATTTCGTGTGCGATTATTCGCGAAACCCACCACCGTTGCCGACATGTATCCATCCACTCCCACTTGTTAAGTGACGTACACTGACGTCATCGATAGTTTACCTTGAAGCATGACATTGAATTGCATGCTTGCCAATAAAACCGATTAAATTCTCTATGCACGTTGTACGCAGAATTCCCTATTTTCTATATAATTGCGCACGCATTTCGTAAACTAACAACACGAATTACGAGCGGTCATATTGTTCTCTTCGTTGTCACAATCGATTCGTTATGTGTTACATGAATTAACGTTGCTTCTTTTTTCATTTAATTACACCTCCTCTTTTATTATTTCCAAAGATCGTCGATAGTTTTATAAATTGACAAAAAGGTATTAGTAATACGTTTATCAACGACTGTAGACTCTATTTCGCGGACCATCGAATCTTTCGAAAGATTAGTTTTCACTTGTTTCGCGCATGTTGACTTTGATTGGTTCTAATAAAATCCGTAACTAACACTGACACGCGTGTTCCTATGTTTGCGACGATGTCGCGATATCGATATACCTGGCGACCTTTTATCCTCTATCTGCGCTTCCTCCATTATCTTCTCTTCTCTTTAGAAGCTATTCCTACATCCAAACAAAACTGTATCATGAAGGAAATATATGTAAATTCAATTTCAACGGTTGCATTTTTACCTAAGATATTAGAAAAATTTAATGACAAGAAACGATAAGACGATAAGGAACTGAAAGAGAGAAACATCGTTGTAACAAGTGAACGCGATGAAACATACGTGATTTGTGACAAGAGCATGAAACGTTAGGACAATCTTCATGATCCGATACAAATTCGTTGTAACGTAAGATTAAATATAGAAATATTTGAAATAATTAACTATTTTTCATTCGTAATCGCTGTCTAAATTTAAATGTCGACGATGCCCGTCCTGGACTGTAAGTACGTTTTTACTAAACAAAAACATCGAACAATTTACTATTTTTTGTAAAATTAAGTGTACATACGATTAATATTCTTACCTTTTACTTATTACATTCTTAATTTAACGAAATTAATCATTTATTGTTAAATATAAATATACTTTTAACTACCGTTAATGCTTTTCATCCTATTTTAATCTTGTATTTCTTTAACTACGATATTATCTATTATTTTAACGATCAATTAATTGTATGCTATTAATTTTAATCCTTTTTACATGTTCAAAGTTATAGCGCATACGACTCGGATTGTTTCAAAGAAAAGTGAATGGAAGTGCGCAAATATTAGGAAACCCCTAAAATCTAAATGTTCCTACATTGATTAAAAATTTTCCTAATAAAGTATAAGATAATTTCAAATTTTTTCTTCTTTTCTTCTTTTTTTTTTAATTGCTATCATTGGTTAAGAATGGTATTTACTGAAAAACGCACTTGAATTTCTGTATGTAAATATATGTACGTATATATATATATATATATATATAACCACATATGTATATGTATAGTGTTTGTAATTCTTAAATGGTACTGAGGATTCATAATTTCATATTTTATTTTTTTTTTCATTGCATTCGTGACAGTAAAAAATTATTAAACTCCTGAACAACTGTTGCAAATTAAATTTTAGAATATGAACAAATTTATCGTTGTATTTATAAGTATTGCAAAAATGAAGTTTTCATTTTAATTGATTTTTATAGAAAAATTTAGTTCTTGTTATTTTTTTATTTTCGTTTTATGCAAATCATGTATTATTATTTGACGCAATTTGATAATCGTTATATCTGTGAGCATAGTGTTAAGTTACAAACTTTGAGCGAACCCTATTATGTTCTGTTATAATTTAATTGGGTATGCTTAAATACTGAGAAGGTAATGTTGTAGCAATCATTTGTTATGAGTACTTAATACTTATACCGATAATAATTTAGATTAGATTCATCGTTAATAATGGATAACAAAAGCAATAAGCAACATATTCGTGATGATAAAGAAACAGAGAAGAAAGCTCAAACGAAAGATGTGGAAAACAGAGTCGCCAAAGACATGAATTCGGATATAGTAAATGCGACTTGTGTTGATACTGCGAATCAAGAAGATATTAAAAAGAAGATTTTATCGCTGAAGCATTTATTGGAAAAGGATATAAAAGCAGCCGATTTAAAATGGTCTTTGTTTGTAGCAGCTTGTAATACGTATCGCTATGATACTTGTTTAAAACCGTTTCCACCGATGTATATTAAAAATGAGTGCAAGGATATCGAAGCTTTGGTACAGTTTTTAAATTATTAATTGCGTTACATCTGTTATCTTTGTTTGTAATAATTTATGGAATAAATTACATATTCGATCACAGAGAAGATCTATAGAACTAATTCCTCCGTTGGCTGTAATATTCGACGCATTGTCAGAGCCAGATGTATATGATAGATACGGAACTGCCATAGAACTTTTACATTGGGTTTTAATACGTCTGAGAAATCCTTATATAAAAAGTATTAACAAAGAATCAGTAAGTTCTCTTGCAGGTAGTTATGTAGATTTTGTTTAATTTTAAGATTTTTATTTGCCTCGAATCTCGTTACTATATGATAACTTGAAAAATTTCTGAACATAATATAGTATGATTCGATACTGAGGAAAGTACCTTCAGAAATGTCAGTCGCTGCACCAAATTTAATATTTCAAGTTGCAAGCGCGAAGCAATCTACTTCGGAAGAGAAATGGAAAATGCTTGCCCAAGGACATACAACTTTTCATGCTTATCATGGTAGTCGATTGGAGAATTTTCATTCCATTATACATTATGGTCTACAACAAAATATGTGTAAGGTAAAGTAATTTCTTTAAAAATAATATCGGCTGTAACGACAGTTTGACGTGTTAAGTTGTGGTATTATGCCTTTTAGAAATCATTATTTGGTAATGGAATATATCTTTCAAGTGAATTAGGTGTAAGCTTACCATATAGCCCTGTAGGCTATGGATGGGGAGGTAGTATGCTTGGAAGCGAGATGAGTTGTATAGCTTTATGTGAACTTGTCAATCGTGTAGATGTGAAAACTGGAGATTCAGGTAAATACGAATTACGGGAGAAAGCTGTTTATCATTCTCAATTAATGAATTTTACAGAAGATAGCGCTCGTAAAGCGGTTACGGATTCTATGGGTGGAAGAGTTCCAAATAAGTATTATTTGGTTACGAATAGCGAATTGGTAAGAGTACGTTATCTTCTTGTTTATAGTCAAGAAGTACAAACAACAAGGTATGAATATCCATGACATTTGCATGTTTTCACGACATTTGCTAATTTTCAATGCAAAAAACAATGTAAAATATTTCAGGTGTACCGATAATAAAGGATTATTAGCATGGTTCAAACAACATAAATTATTGACATTTGTGCTCGGTTATGTAGTATTATTGGCATCGGTTGGATTGACTCATAATAAACAAGTAGAAAAATATTATAAATTATTTGTACAGAAAGTTGGACTGGAGTAAGAAGAACTCGTATCTGTCTATTAATTTGTATATTAAGGAAAGATGTCCTTTTTTTATACATTTTTTTACCGAAATCCAACAAAATTACATATATTGTAAGAAACATATACTTTGTAAATAATATACATAATTTATATACAATATTGTATTTCCCTATAAAACTTAATATCTTGACAATATAATGGGGAAATTTTCTGTGACTAAATAGTCGTCTTCGAATATTACAATTAGATTTACCTCAAATTCTGCAACAGAGTATAATGAAATATAATTAATTGTCATAAAAAGAATATATAATTATTTATGTTTTTAAAATAACAAGTTAAAACATATTCTTACCGACTTTAAAATTACTTGTACTTAATGTAGGACATGTGAACAATCTTGGAAATATCATATATATCGGTATAGGCAAATTTGTACAAACATTGCCTTCTCCGATTTGTATATTCTGTATTTCCGTAGCTAATGAAAATAAAATACAAAATGATAAACGTTTGCGTGTATTTTACTCGAATGATCTTACCATCTCTAGAATATCCCTCTGCGCATCCGCATGTCTCCACTCTGACTAATTGCAATTCAATAGATTTTATTATAGCTTCGCAATGTTCGATTACAACCTTATAATTAGAAATAATCATTGTTTCATATCAGATTAATCATGTTATTTACAACGTATGATATAATTATTTGATTACCTCTCCCGACAGTGGTTCAGAAACTTTACAGTATAATGAATCTAGTTTTCCTGAAATACAAAATCTAGGAACATTAGTTCTATCTCTTGTATTCTGCAAAGACTCTGGCATAATTTTAAAAGACACTGATTTACTAGGTTCCTTCTCTATCTTTGGAGGCACTTTATCTTCCACTATGAACTCTAGAGACTTGCTTACATCTTTTGCCAAAAAACTTCTCTTTATATCACAACGGATAAGATACTGTATATTTACAAACACTCCGTGGTATGTTTCGTATAAAGATTTGGTTCCTCTAGGCTTCAATGGCAGTTCAAACGGTATTTCTGTTCTACCACTCGGTATTTTTCCACTTGGAACTACATCTATAGTATACTGAACTAATTGTATCGGCTAAACACATATACTTTTTTAAATTAATGATCATCGTGAAATTTAATACAAAACCTGTCGAGATTTCTTCTAAAATTGTAAAAACAAACTAACCTTCACAGAATTATAAAAAGCTTCAAAGATACCAAAATTTTTGGAACTAAGTTGTAAATTAACCGAACCTTCCATACTTAGAAATATTCCATCGTGTTTAACATCTGAATTAGTTTTTAATAATATAAAACCAGAAACTATTTCCTAAAACATAACCTCTTAATTTGTTGTTTTATACAATTATTAAAATTAATTGCAGGTCTCGTTAGAAGAGGGACATATGCCGCATTCAACGTAACTCGATTTTCTTTACTGTCAACAAACTTCAGCAAATTAATGAAAAAAATACCAATTTTCATTCAAATTCATATTGGTATAGCATGTGTCCCTTCTCCAACATGACTGTTAATTGTGAAAGAACGTACCCCTTCATGATATATTTTGCTTGCTCGCTTTAATTTAATATCAATATTTATTGACATTTTATTAATTCACCCTTAACGGTTCATTAACAATCATATGAAACGTATGTGATGCTGTTTAAGGATGACATTTATAATTTTCAACTAGTTAAAATCCATGTTGTCGGTTAACAAATTTGTGTGTGTGTGTGTATATATATATATATAATTGAGCGAAGCTCTTATACTTGATTTTCCAACTTCTTTGTCCGCATTTTTCTTTTGCACCACTCAACCAATTCTCATCAAATTTTGCACACACATGCGTTCGTACATCCAGATGGACATAGAAAAAAAAATTTTAAATCGGACTTGCCACGGAGGAATAATCACCGAAAAAACTGATCCTCATAGATTTCAATGTAAAAATTGAATTTGCTCATGCTACAAATAGTGCACTTTATGGACTAAAACTGAAACGGGTGAACTAAACCTAAAAAATGAGGGTCCGAACACGCATGTAAGGAAGATAAAAAAATGAATATTTCGGCACTTTGACGACGTAGTATGGTTCCTGAGGCATTTAGAAACAAATTTCTATTAGGGTTTGATGCGTTTTGATGCTTAATAAAGCCAGAAAATTAATTTTTGTCGAATTCGGTCGAAAACGGTACAGGTGGCGCCATCTAGCGGCGAGCGGCGGAACTACGAAAAACTAAAATCTCGATTTTCTCGAAAACTAGG